GGGGGGGGGGGGGGGCAGAGCAAAGAAAGGAAAAACTTTAAAATGCTGTCTAGCTGGCTGGGGTTAACACATTCTGTTTTTTAGCTTTTTTCTTTCTTCTTTTTCTTTGTGGGTGGTGCTGGGGGTAGTGCCAAGTAGGTACTCTACTACTAAGTTATAACCCCAGTCTTCCAATTTTTACTCCTGTTTCTGAAATCCCTCCCTATACATGCTGAATCTTCAAGTCAAAGCCTTGGGTTTTCCCCAAGGTCCAGCAGTTAAGGGGATCCACATACCTGTGCCAAGGGAGATGTCAAGTGCAGATGTCACTGTTCTCCCTCTCCCCCAGAAGAGCTGCTTCTGGGGGAAGGAAGGATAGAGTTGGCCTTAATCTAGTGACCTTTCCATTTATGTTCCTTTTCTGTAACTGAGAGCCCCAGAGTGTGAGGAGAACTGAAGAGAAGACCAGACCTTCTTAAAAACAACAACAAACTGCTATCCACTGACAAAAAAAAAAAAAAAAAAAAAACCCAGCATTATCATCGATATTTTTTTCATCAGTAAACATGATAATTTCACTTGCCTCCATGCTAGAAGAGTATTTAGTAATAGCCATGTAAAAAAAATAGAATTCTCAGGGCTGGGAGTAGCTCAATAGCAGAGCACTTGCTTACCATGCATTCAGCCTTAGATTAGATCTCCAGCACAGCAAAAGTAATAATAATTGTAATTATTTAATTAATTGATTAATTTTTTCATGGGATGAAATGTTTTTAATGTTTTAACAAAGAACAATAAACTTCAGAAAAGTGACAATATAATGAGAGGACAATTTCAGGCATTAGCCCAAAGCAGGGAAAACTAGGAAGAAATGAAGAGTGAGGTCTGCTCACAGACCCCTCTGGTGCCTTCCCTGCACCATCTCTGAATTGACAAACACTGTCTATTGTGATTTATTCTCTGACACACAAATGCATATGATTTGCTGATTTGAAAAAAAAAAATTTAAAGATAATGTTAAAAGCAAATATTAAAATTTAAGTTAAATTCTAATAGGTAGTCAAGTTTAAGAAGAGAAGCAGTGCCTATGATTTATACATTAAAAAATATTTACTAAATGCATACTATGTGTTATGTGCTATTCCTGGTGTTAAGAAAATTTGTATTTAATTTCAAAATATCTGGAGATTTTCCAGGTACTTCTGTCATTTATTTCTACTTTAACTCTCAAGGGGTTAAAATTTGTACAATTTCAATATTTTAAGTTTGTTGAGATCTGTTTTACAATGCAGAAAATAGTGTATCTTGGTGAATATCCATGTGTACTTAGAAAGAATGCATATTCTGCTGGCATTGAGTGATATATATGTTCTGTAAATGTCAGTAAGATCAAGTTGATCAATTATATAATTCACATCTTCTATATCTTTACTGACTTTCTTTTTTTTTCTTAAAGAGAAAGGGAGAGAGAGAGAGAGAGAGAGAGAATTTTAATATTTATTTTTTAGTTATTGGCAGACACAACATCTTTGTTTGTATGTGGTACTGAGGATCGAACCCGGGCCGCACGCATGCCAGGCGAGCGCGCTACCGCTTGAGCCACATCCCCAGCCCCTCTTTACTGACTTTCTAACTACTAACTCTTATAAGTACTAAGAAGACTGAAGTCTCCACACAGTACTATAGGCATGCTTGCAAACATACAATGTCATAAGCAAAATTAAATACAAATTATATTTTAGATTTATTTCCATATTATAAAAATATAGCATATCCATTGTAGAGAAATGTAAAAATTCAATAAAATGCTTATCTGAACACCCATGTTGGCTTTACTCCTGATTCTGACTTGAATGAAAAGAGGTGTGGAGTGTGTCAAAATGGTATGGCAATGATACAGTCCTAGCCCAACCCACCATCTCAGATCCACAACCAGAAATCATGCTGGAATACACTGGCATCCCACCCAATCTTTCTCAGAAGTCATCAGACATTTACCTATGATAGTTCTACTAGACTTGAATTTTTTCTCCTACTACCTGGCTCTCTAATACTGTCTAGATGTCTAAAATCTTTTCAAAATTTAAGAATCTTAAGAATTTTTTTTTCATCCTACAAGATCCCACTGTAATCTGATTGTAGTAAGATATTTTGCCACCTAAAACTACATTTTATCACTATTAAAATCAATATTAGGTGAAGGGGAGTGAAGGCAGGGGAGGGGACATGGGGATAGGAAGGATAGTAGAATAAACAGATATTATTACCTTATGCTAACCAATGTGATTCTATATGTACAATCAGAAAAATGAGAAATTAGACCCCATTTATGTATGATATATTGAAGTACATAAATGCATTCTACTGTCATGTATAACTAATTGAAACATACAAAAAAATTATTAAAAAACAATATTAAAGCTGGGCACGGTGGCGCAGGCCTGTAATCCCAGGAGGCTGAGGCAGGAGGATCACGAGTTCAAAGTCAGGCTCAGCAATGGCGAGGTGCTAAGCAACTCAGTGAGACCTTATCTCTAAATAAAATACAAAATAGGGCTGGGGATGTGGCTCAATGGTCAAGTGCCCCTGAGTTCAATCCCTGGTACCAAAAAAAAAAAAAAATTTAAAAAGAGTTAAAAGCAAATATTAAAATTTAAGTTAAATTCTAATAGGTAGTCAAGTTCAAGAAGAGAAGCAGTGCCTATGATTTATACATTAGAAAATATTTATTAAATGCATACTGTGTGTTATGTGCTATTCCTGGTGCTAAGAATAAAAGTTAAAGTAGACTCTATGTAGTCTACTAAGGAACACACAATAAACCAATAAACATACTATATTACATGCTAGAGTAAAAACTGTCATCAAAAAACATAAAGCATAGTAAGAATCATAGGTGTGATTAACATTTACCTGGTTAGTTCTCAAGTCCTCAGGAAAGAATAAGCCATACTACTATTTAGAGGAGGAATATTTCAGGTGGAGGAAAAGTGTTGGTAGGTTTGAGGAAATGCAAAGATGCATATGATTTGCTGATTTGAAACACATAACGAACTAAAAAATAACATACCGTATTAAGAAATTTAGTTCCATATGAAGCCCCTTATTCAAAGTATAGTACAAAAGCTTAAAACTTCATGATTTTTCACTTAAATGAGGTCATTAGTCTAGAAAAATTCTAACATGTTCTATAGGAAGTATTTTTCAAAAGCCTTTTAAAATCAGCACTTACCTGTCACAAAAAACTAATACCACACTGTATTATATAATAGTATGCATAATATATATATACACACACACTATGTAGTTACATACTTATGCATTGTATATTTTGCCTTTATTTATAACAGAAAAAACAAGTCAAAGACAGAAATGTTGAGATACTAAGTACCTATTTTTTCAGAGGCCTCTATTAAAAACAAAGAAAAGCAGAGTGCCTTTGTCACTAAAGAAGATAAATCAGCTCAGTAAAAAAAAGCATTAGCCTACAGTTACTATTTAAAAGGAAACAAACTTTTAAAAAGTGAATTTTCATATTTTAAACAAGCTTAGGTAAAGCAACAATATGAATTAATAAAAATAAGCATAAAAACTTATATTCAATCAAATATCTCTATGAAATATTTTTAAATTACCTTCTTCTCCTTGATCAGTGAAAACTAGAATTCAAATTTATCATTTTAACCAATGACAAGAAAAATTTAAACATGAGCACCACCCACGATAAATTTTATAGTACTTGACTTTAATCCAAATTATGGATTAAAAAGCCATTAAATTATGTAAAACTTTTTGTACCTTGACTTTTTTTTTTTTTTTTTTGTATTTTCTCCCTTGACTTCCAACTTGGCTTTATAAATCTCAAAAGCTGTGTGGTGGCTCATACTATTTAATACATGCTTTTTTTGCGGGGGGGGGGGGGGCGGGGGGGTGCTGGGGATTGAACCCAGGGCCTTGTGCATGTGAGGCAAGCACTCTACCAACTAAGCTATATCCCCAGCCCCTATTTACACATTCTTTATGCTGCAAAGATCCAAGATTTTAATTTTCCAAAAACAAATCTAAAAATTATAAAATCATAACCCAGTTTTATCTCAGGGTAAGGAATTTTCTGACTAGATGAGATATGACTAAAACTGAAAAGCCTAGCAATTCCAAATGTTGCTGAGGCTGTGAACAAGTAAAAGTCTCCCATACACTGCAGGTAAGAGAGTAATTTAGTACACACTTATAGGATACAGTTTATACATCACAAACCCTTGCAATATCCCCCTCATCTTTAGATTTCCTGATCACAATGCCCACAACTGAAAAGTGGAGGTTTTCTTACTGGTTTTCTTACTCGTATTATCATTACTACCATTCCAACCATCCCCAAATGGCTGAACTCTGGTCATTTGAAGCAAACCAAATCCTACTCTGTACAAAACAGCACTGAACACAGTAACACTGTATCTGAACCTAAAATATTTACAAAAGTAACAACTACTACAGTAAAACAAACTTTGTAGAAATAGACACAGGTAATTGCATTCAGTTTTACTTCCTAGGTTATCTCAGTGTGACAAATGTGATATAAAACATACACAACGAGGGGCTGGGGTCACAGCTCTGTGGTACAGCGCTTGCCTCACAGCTCTGTGGTACAGCGCTTGCCTCACACCTGTGAGGCACTGGGTTTGATCCTCAGCACCACATAAAAATAAATAAAAATGTTGTATCCATCTACAACTAAAAAAAAGTGTTTTAAAAAACACACAATGAGTAAAAGAAGTGGGGGAAAGTGTGACTACAGGAACTTCTAAAAACATTTAAATCTGCCTCAATCTCAAATTATGAAAAAGAGTAAAATAATCTCAGCAGATGAACTAATTTAAGAAAATATCAATATTTGCTAGAGTAATTAAACTGTGCTACCTTAAAAAAGTCATCTGTTTTATGTCTTCTTCTATTTTTATTACTTGGTATTATGTATCAGTAAACTTAAAAGAAAGAAAAAGGAGAGATAAAGAAAAACTTACTGGGATTGAAAATTCCTTGGCCAAATACTTCAATAGGGATGATTCTTTGGCCAAGAATTTGTTTCTTTCCCTCATATTGCCTTGAAGTTGGGTATCAAACTCCTTTCTGACGACAGAAGCAACAGAGTCGACAATCACAAGTTTAATTCCTTTTGAAATAATTTCTTCTTCCAAAGATTCAATCCTATAAAAGCAGAATTTGTAAAATAATGAAAAAATTTAAGATATAATGTAAAAATAGATTGTTATGAGGGTTAATCAAAAATTTTAAATTGTTACAAAAATTGCAAATTGTTCTTCCTAAAGTTACATTGATGACTGCAAAAATCTCTTAACATCATTTATTTTCAGCTCTTCTACACATATTACACTTTTCTGGATATAGAGCAAAATGTTTTCATTTAGTTTCGGAATTCCTTGATTGTCCCATGAAACTGCCAAAGCTCCAATTTTAGAGAAACACTACTTATTGCAGCCATTCTCCAAAATGGCTCCCACTCATTCCCACCTCCTGCTATTTCACACCCTTGGGTAGCTCCTTCCCACACTGTAGCAGAGTTGGTCTATGTGGCTAATAGCATACGACAAAATAATGGTACATCATGTCTAACAGTAGACTATAAACATCTAGAGTTTCCATCTTGAACATTCTTTCACTTGCCCACACTCACATCACTCTGCAGGAAGCAGGTTGCTGTGTTTTGAGTCTACGGATACATCCACTTGGTGAGGAATAGAGGCCTTCCAACAACCACATGAGTGAGCTTGGCCTCAGATTTCACAGCATAATTGAACCTTGAGATGACTACAGCCCTGGCCAACAGCTTGACTATAACCTTTTGAGCAACTTTGAGCCAGAAACTATTAGCTAAGCTACTCCCAGATACTTACCCTCAGAAACTATGTAAGATAATATATCTGCTGGGTGGTTTTATTATTGTTGTTTTGGGAGGGTTTTTGTTTGTTTGTTTGTTTTGGGTACCAGGGATTGAACTCAGGGGCACTTAACCATTGAGCCACATCCCTAACCCTTTTCTGTATTTTATTTTGAGAAAGGGTCTCACTGAGTTGCTTAGGGCCTCGCCAAATTGCTGAGGCTGGCTTTGAACTCACAATCCTCCTGCCTCAGCCTCCCAAGCCACTGGGATTACAGGCATGCACCACCATGCCCAGCTTATGTTTGCTGTTTTTAGCTGATAAACTTTGAAGTAATTTGTTAATGAAATAGCAGACATTATACCACTTATGTGATATCTAGAACATTTTATTCATTGCTATTTTTAAAGAAGTCCTTCAAAGGCTACAGAAAATTAAAAAATGAAATAATTATTGCCCATAATTTGCATATGTAAAAATTTTTTGTTCTTACTCAGAAGCTGAAAACATGAAAAAAACATCTTCAAAGCATTACAAAACTGTCAAAATATTAGACAACACACCTTTGTAGAACTTCATCACAGGTGAGTTCCCGGTAAAGATGAACTTTACTACTTGTCCAAAGTAATTTTTCTTCAGTGTTAAAATATCTGGGAAAACGGGATTCTGCTATTTCAACCAGTCTATAGGGAAAAAAACAGTCAATATATTTAAACCACTACTGAGACTCTAATAAGAACTGGAAAGCTTATAAACCTTATTGATAGAGCAGACATAAGCAAAATAGCTTAAAATACAAGTTTTGAATGTAAGCTCTCCTTTTGAGCACTTATCAGAGGTTACATTAGAGGTTACATGAGACCAGTGAGGGCTTTTAGGTCTTCTCTAATTTTGAGCAAACAACAATGTCTCCAAGATCTATTTTTCTAGGAATTTTTTTATAAACGATATTTTATCAAGCAACTAGAAGATATATTACTAAATAAGAAAAATGCTTTCATTTTCTTGAATTAAAAAAGTACATTTGAACATAGATGGCATATTATCATCCTAATAATCAGACATCAGTAAGTCTCCATATCTTATTCCAGAAAAATGTTTTCTCCATTAAAACCTAATTCAAATAAATACTATCCAATAGTTTCTTGGTAAACAGAAAATTATTATCTAAACAAATGAATACTATTCAGTTGTTTCTAAGTAAACAATAAGTGATTTCTAAACACTGAATTCTGACCACAAAGCTACATCTAACATATGGGGATCAGGCCAACCAAGAAGAGTGACAAGTGGAAATAGGCAATTATTATTGATAGAATAAGATACGGAGAGCGTCACGAGAAATTACAAATGCTTCTGATTTCAAATGTTAAAAATATAACTCTTTAAGTGTAACTGTCTCCCATTTAAAATGACACTTTATCAGTCATACTACTTAGCATGCAAAGGGACAGAGTGGAGAGACGATAAACACTAAAACCATCCTATATTTTATGTTCCATTTAGAAACAAAAAAGTGCAAAAAAGCAGTGTTTTCACCCAAAACAGCTAGAGTTGCAAGAAAAGGCTGATAACTTTAAAGAGACAAACAAAATAATAATAATAATTAATAATCAGAAACAAAAGAGAAAACCCTGAAACAGGAAAAGAGAGAAATAAAACTAGTCAACAACTTTTTTAAAAAAGTGTTGACAAAATTGAAAAGAAAAAAACATAATTTGATTGAACAGAAAGCACAAAAAATACTTTAGGAGTAAGAATTATACAGAAGGGGTTTAAAGAGAACAAAATGAATCACACAACCATTCAGAAGTGCTTGAGAGAAGCATAGGGTTTAAAACAGAAGAAGGAAATGAGGCAAGTGAGGGAAGAAAAGAGATGGCACTGGCAAAGGCAGAACAGGCAAATGCTGAGGGCTTGGTAGAAATGTTTTGTTTTGTTTGTTTCTAAACTAGGGCAACTATTTGCTGAGTTTCGTGCTAGTCAGAGATAACATCTAAAAAGCTCTCATGCTCGGAACTCACCAATTTTTATTAGGATAGTATGGCAACAACTACCAGAACCATGGAAGTTTCTCAAAGCAGTTGATCAGGCACAAGATGGAGAGTACCTAACTCATTGGTAACAATAACTCAATGGCTGACAGGCATGAATAATTTTCTGCTCTTTAGCAGCATGATAGATTTCAACTAGTGGCTTGAGTGGTGAAGATTTCTGAAAATTATTGCTGCTACTCATTCTGTTAAGGCTTTTTGGAAGGAATAATGGTCAATGGACATGAACTATCTTTATTCACAGTAACCATTCTAAATAACTATATCAAATGGTTATTTACCTACCAATATGCGGCAATTCTCTGTAAGTTTCACTAAATTATTTTTATTCAACAAAAAAACAAATACAAATGTAGTATTCTACATGCCTCATATTAATCACATTAATTTCTTATAGTCTTCACCACAAAGAATTTTTTCTTTAGGACAAACAAAAAAGAGCTTATCTTTTACTCCCAGGCATTAATTACATAAAATTTGAAAATACTGCCATCTAGTGGCTACCTTTTATAAAAAAAAATCCTTTGAAATGAAAGGTAAAGATTCATCCATTCCACAAATATTTACTGAGGAGGACCTACAGGCATAGTTCTAGGTGCTGAGGATATGGCAATACAAAGGAATGAAAGGAAGGAAGGAGAAAAAGTAAAGAAAAAGAAAGATCCTTCCCTCATGGAGCTTATATTCTAAGAAAGAAGCAAACAAATATATATTACATGCCATGTAATAAGTGCTCTAAAGAAAAGAGAAGCAGAATGAGGGAACAGAAATGTAACCAATGGAAGCAAATATGATTATATGTAGGGGGATTGGTAAAGCTTCATTTATAAAGTAACATTTGCAGTTTAGGCTTAAAGACATGAGGAAATGAACCATGCAAATATCCAATGGGACAGCACATCAGACTAGAGAACTATAGCAAGTACAAAAGTCCAAATGTAGGCAGATACCTGATGTGTTTGAGGAAAAGCAAAGAAAATAAGTAGATGAACACCAGAAGCAAGAGGGAGAATAATAGGAAATTGTCTCAAGGACAAACCCTGTATAACTGAATTGTGAACAAAAAAAGTTACTTTTTCCATGAAGGCCATTTTTCCTTGAATGAATAAATGCCAAATTATGATTTTACACTTCCAGTGAAACCAATAATTGTTGTCAATGATAAAACTCAAAGTTTTTTTTTAATGAAAAATCAGAATTTTTTCTATCTTCCACCATGAGTTTGATGTTTCCCACTATTTAATTCTTACTGAAATCAGTGGAAATACTGATGAGAGACTTTTTGAGAGTGAATAATAAAATATATCACATTTAGAAGACTTCCATAACTCAGTGAACCAATATTTTCCAAATGAGTAATGCTTAATATTATAAAATCATGTACAGGTAAATGTCCACTAAAAGTACAAAACAGATCAAATAGATTTTAATTTAAAATAGGAAAAATTCACTAATACAGTTTCAAAGTTTATCACTCATCAAGTCTTAGCTTAGTTGGGCTGGGGCTGCAGCTCAGTGGCAGAATGCTTGCCTAACATGTGAGGCACTGAGTTCAGTCCTTAGCACTGCATAAAAAGAAATACATAAAATAATAATTTTAAAAAGAATGGTAGGGAAAAAGTCTTAGCTTAGTATCAAAGAGGGAAATTTATAATTGTCTGAAAAGACTATAAAATATTCTTCACTTTCCCAAATACGTATCTGTGTGAGGTCAGATCGTCTTCATATTTTTCCAACAAAAAAACATATTACCAAAGACTGAATGCAAAGCACATTAGAATCCAATAGTCTTCTATTATCAGACTTTAAAAAAGATTTTCAATCTTTTCTCTCATTTTTAAGCTTTGAAAATCTATTTTCCATAAAAATATGTGTGATGAATATTTTATGAATCAACTTATTAGGGTATGGTAACCTGTTATTCAGTTGACCATTATGTATTGCTGTAAAGAGATTTCATGGTTATCAATGTTGGTAACAGCTAACTTTAAGTAAAAGAGATTGTCCTATATAATTGGGGTGGGCCTTTTTCAATAACTTGAAAGGCCTTAAGAGCAAAAGTGAGGCTTCTTTTTAAAAAAAAAGAAAAGAAATTCTACCCATGGACTACAACTTCAAACCTGGCTTTCAGCACTTCCTGAGAGCCTGCCTTGTATATTTCAGACAGCCTCTGCAATTGCAAAAGTCAATTATTCCCTGCAATAAATCTCTTTATGTATATACTCTACTGGTTCTACTTCTCTGATGGAGTCCTGCCTGATGCAGTGTATTATCATATTACACATTTATTATTGTGTTTCTACTGAATTAATAATTAAATATTTTTTAAAATCCCTCAGTTTCTAACATGATAAACATCAATCAATATAATCTAAAGAGTTTAAGATCCTGAAAAAAAAAGTAAGAATTACAGCCATAAAGGAAAAGCTGTAAGACTGAATACAACAAAAAAACATAGGTAACATAACCAAAGTTAAAACATAAATGACAGACTAAAATAAAATCTTATATTCTTTAATATCTAAAAAATACAAAGTGTTTCTGTAAGTCCATAAGGAAAAAGAAAAAGAAAAAAGGGCAAAGTGTATTTCTACATAATTTGCCTAAGAAAGATAAACAATGAACATATTAAAAGTTATTAGTCCATAATAGTTTAAAAAATGAAATGTCAACTTTCCCCATGACAAAAATTTAAAAAACTAGAAAACAAAGGGTTGATGAAGACTTTCAAAACACTGTGTATTAGAACATATGAGTACCCCTAGGTTCAATCCCCAGTACCAAAAAATAAAATATTGTGTACAATATTTCTGGAGATAAGTGTGGCAGTTTAAATCACAATTTAAAATAAAACCATCCTGAATAGGTTTCCAATGGATTAAAACCACTAATATGAAAGATAAAACTAAATATATGTTTTAAAAATGTTGCCTAATAGTGAGAGAAAACTTTTTTTAAAAATATTTGTTTTTTAGTTGTAGTTGGATACAATACCTTTATTTTATCTCTTTATTTTTATGTGGTGCTGAGGATTGAACCCAGGGCCTCACACATGCTAGGTGAGCACTCTATCTCTGAGCCACAACCCCAGCCCCAAGAGAGAAAATTTCTTAAGATCCAAAAACCAAAACCATAAGACAAGTTCAAAATTGCAAATTTATGTTCAACAAGATACCATTAAATAAAGATAACAGAACAGAAAAAAATATAATCTCTGATAGGTGTTATTGAATGAAGGAATGAAAACACTATCCGGATTCTTCCTCAAAGTCAATTATTTTTGCCAATCATAGTTTAGTGGAAAGAGAACATGAATTCACCTCTGAGCTCACTTACTAGCTATATGATCTTAGGTTAATCACATGACTTCTGAGTACCATTTTCCTTATTTCTAAGATGAATATCAACTCCAGGCATGGTAGCACATACCTTCCCAGAGGCTTGGGAGACTGAGGCAGGAGGATCACGAGTTCAAAGCCAGCCTCAGTAACTTAGTGAGGCTCTAAGCAACTTAATGAGACTCTGTCTCTAAATAAAATATAAAAAGAGGTGGTGATGTGATTCAGTGGTTGAGTGTTCCTGGGTTGAATCTCCAGTACCAAAAGATAAAATAAAATAAAATGGATATC